ATTGACTCACCTGATTCGTTCAGTGAAGTTATTTAATTCCAATTTACTTTTATCTGACTCCATTTTATCACAACCTCGAATTTAGGTTAGAGTGCCAATTGATTATTCAATTGGTCATTCTTTTACGCAGATCACAAACTCGTCAGTCTGATCATTAATCAGAGGTTATGGCTAATGCCATTTAATAGGCTGCCTATGCTTGCCATTATTTAAATAGCAGTTCCACTTAGCCCCCTACAGTTGCCTATATAACAATTTAATTAAAGCTCAAACAATAATCAGAGGTTATGGCAAGTAGCCTACTATGAAATAATTCATTGACAGCTATTTAATTAACACTTTGAAGTCCCAGAAATATAGGAAAGACATCGTTAAATTAGTCGATGTGACTACAGTGGTTAAACCTTAATTTTATGAAGCAACGAGAATACTTTTTGTGTGCCAAAAACCCCTAAATAACGACGTTATTCAACAATTTCTTCTCTTCCGTATCAGTCTCTGACTCGCGTTCACGTGAGCACCACGACACATGCCTGTGGAAAGCGGGGATCCTCTGTTATGCAAGATACACGTGTCATCTCATTGTCTGAATTATCCAAACTTTCAAGATATGGCTTCACAATATCACAATCGATGCAGCACACACTCTCCTGTTCAGTAGGCATCGCTTGACACTGATGACATCTACACCACCAGCTCTCCGTTGTTCTCTGTCTTTCAGAAGCTTGTGGCTGTGGTTGTGTTGCAGCCTCTTTTATCTCTTTTAGTTCATTCTCTGTATATTCTGGTTCGAATAAGTAAGGTTGTGCAAAAAAATGCAATTCATCCTCTGTGTCGAAATCTGCAGACATAGTTATGAACTGTTTTATGTTGAGCGTGCGTCTTCCTCTGCTTGTAAACATATGTCAGAACGCCAGCTCCTGTATCATAACCACACACGCATGCTCACGGAAGAGAAGAAATTGTTGAATAAAGTCGTTATTTCGTTTTTTTTGGCGCACAAAAAGTATTCTCGTTGCAGGTTGAATCACATGGACTAATTTAACGATGTCTTTCATACCTTTCTGGGCCTTTAAAGTGTTAATTAAATAACTGTCAAAGAAGCCCTCCTTGAGCCATCGGATTTCATCAAAAATATGTTAATTTGTGCTCCGAAGATGATAGAAGGTCTTACGGGTTTGGAAGGACATGAGGGTGAGTAATTACTGACAGAATTTTCATTTTTGGGTGAACTATCCCTTTAATAATATAACTATATAACAACTCGAAAAAAGCTGAAACAGTAACCAGAGGTTATGGCTAATAATGCTTGCTATTATTTTAATATTATTTGTATCTAGCCCCCTGTAGTGAATGCGACTGCATAACAACTTAACTAAAGTTGACTAGTCAGAAATCTAGAATCCCACCTGATGTGCCCCATGCTCCATTTAATCTGAGATCTTAACCCTGCATGCAGATTTGCGGTAAAAATGGATATACAACATAGCCTAATCTACTAGAGTTAATCATTTTAGAGTAAAGGTCCTTGCAGAATGAGTCTTAAATTAAAATATTACGCGAATACACGTAGGTATTATGCACATTAAAAAATAAATACGACCTCACATTGTACCAATTACGTTTACACACTGCCTCCGAAACTTTCGTCCGTCATAAAAAAATTCAGATCGGATTAGATTTTCTGCGTTTTTCGCATCCGTACCAAGCATTTTGAGAGGTGTTTTGACAATTCAGAGCCACCGAATAACACCGACCAAGACAGTGAGACATGAACTTACAATAATAATAATAATCAAGTCCCCAGACCTGGGTAGTTTACACCATTTGAGGACAGAAAGTAATTTGCATGAAAGACCTTGGCAGAGGATACACCCTTCTCTGTTAAGCAAGATATCTCTAAACTCTTTAAAACTTTATTACCTTTTGGTTTACTTCAGTGGGAATGAGACCATTGTACCAGTCGCACTGAGACATATATAGTGTTGTATAATAATTGTTCACATTAAAGGTGGGGTAAGCGATATTTGAAAAACGCTGTTTGGAAGTTAGTCGGACCAACATACGAACAAAAAACAACAAACGTTTGTAGCCAATCAGCATTAGGGGACGTATGATGTGGAGGAGAGATAACAAGCAAGAGGGAGATTTGAAGGAAAAGACTGCAGAAATCACAGGCGTAACTATCGGTAAGCAGGGTACGCGGTTGCTTACGGGCCCGGACCAATCAAGGTGACTGGAAGTTATTGATTGACAGCCGGGGGCGGGGCCCCCTATCGCAATTTACTACTTTTAGTCTGATCGCATTTTAATTTTTTCGCAAATTTATTTGAATAAATAATGACAACAACATATTTTACTGATCATTAAATACATGTTTGAAACGAACAATGATGGACTTTGGTGTAATTTGTTTCGAATTGGAACTGGGGTATCCCCGGGTGAACATGCGTATTGCGAGCAAAACAGTAAAAAAACTAAAACTTTGAACTTGAGATAGATATGGAGTCGGCAAATTTTCAAACACAAAAGTGGCTTTCAAAAGCGCAAACGAAAAGAGGAATTTGACTAATTAATTAATAAATTAGCAAAAATAGGAAGCTTCTTTAAAAAGGAGGGAGAGATCGAGATTGAGATGGAGCAAGAGAGTGAAGCGACTTGCCATACTGTCAATTGAGAATGCCCGTGCACGCCATCTGGATCTTAAGGATTTAATCGGCAACTTCCCACAGAGGAAAGCCCGGAAAATGCCGCTATAATGTAAGTGAGCATCTTTTTTTATGTATTTGGACATAGGCCTATGTGTGTGTAGTCATAGCAGTGAGTAACAATGTGTCATGGTGCGCCGTCACCAGCAGTGTTTTTTTATTTTTATGTTGGAGTCACCAGTTTTTGGGGGTTTTTTGGTATGCGTAGGCTACTCCTGATTTTGTCAGTCATCTCTTCTCTTATATACTGCCTGTGTCTCTATGATTCTATCCTGTCCTATTCATGTTAGCCTACTCGTGGACATTGCGTCATCACGTGCTGTAGTAGGGGGGCCCGCCTTGATAATCCTGCATAAGGGCCCGGTGTTGGCTCGTTACGCCACTGGCAGAAATAGAGATTCTTTTGTATCTCAGTGGCGCAGTGGCGAAAAGCTCAGAAGAAATCACTGGAAACTGGATCGGGGTCTGAGGCCGACTCGGAGAAGGGCATATAGGATTGGACTGTGAGTTTTGGAGGCGGAGCAATGAAGAGAGGGGTGTGTTTGTTTGGGTAGATTTCAAATATCAAAAATGTCCAACAGCGTTTTTGAAATATCGCTTACCCCACCTTTAAACCATATAGATTTTTGGGTGAATTTCAGATGGTTTCAGCATGTGGAGAGAAGAGATGGGGGAGAGGGGGTGAAGGGAAAGAAATGTATTAAGACAATATTGAGGTGACTGATTATGATTGAAAATGTTAATTTCCAGAAAGGTCCTTTGTTTTCTCAGTGAGTATAGCCCTTTCTGGGACAAGTCTTACATAAAAACAGTCAATTCGTATAATCAACTTATTGCTTATTGAACTGTTGTATAAAATAAATATCACATTTGTAATTGTGTTGATATTTGAGAAAATAGCACTCTTGCTCATGTAATAGCCAATTGCTTAACTGTATTATGTTATAAACACAAAATAACTCATACAAGGGCAATTCATACCTCAAATTTTGGGGGCATTTTTTATTAATTTGTGGCGGCATTTCCGACCTTGCACAATGTTATTTTGTCAACACCAGACAAGCGTGCTTGTTAGCTTAATGGATGGCTATTGCGTAAGTTAGGCTGGCCGTATTGAGATGTTTTGATAGTGGTTTAATTTAGCAATGACAAACAGTGCCGAAGTTTAGGACAAACATGATCGTTATCTCGCTGTCACCAGGACATGTCCGGGACCGGGAGACATGGATGCTGCTCCGCAGAGCACTGTGGTGGCTGTCACAAGGGATGAGAGTAGGAGGGAATTGTGTGGTCTCACAGAATTATTAAGAATACGTTGTTGGGAACACACTTATTTGTGAATTGGTGCCATGTGCCAAATTAAAACAAAAACAAACAAAAAAGTCTTGAAAAAAGTGCACTTATCAGAGGCCAAAAGGGCCAGTGCTATCTGTGCACGTGCCTAATATTTTCCCTTTTGGTTGTGTATTCACACTCACAATTTAGAAAGTAGAACAAGCCCAATAATTAATTCATATATGAAGGTTTTTATTTTATTTTTTTATTTCACTTTGCTAAAAGCATGCACATAAATAACTGTCACAGAATGAACTACATAATATTTTTGTTGCAATCTGACAACAAAACTAAAAACAACATTTATCATCATACAGTGCATTAGCGGTTATGTCAATGTTCCTAAATTATGAATCGTTTAGCTTTAATAAACAATTCAAAATTCAAACATTATAACTGAACCCTTCATTTTGCATAGCTAACATAGTCATAGTTATCTTATTAATAAAAACCAACAGAAATGACTACTTTAGAAATCACAGTAAGAAAGAAATCAGTGTTTTAAAAGACAATGTAAAAGTAGCAGTTTATAGGCTTTTTTTCTGGTTATTCTTATCCGCAGGATATGTGCATTTGTACGCAACTGCATTTATAATAAATAAAAACAACAGCTACATAAAAGGAAAATAGTACTGCATTAAAAGTAATAGTCTCAAACAGGGAAGAGAATATGGCCAGAGAAATAGCTGGAACTGCCAATACCATTAGCACCCCGAGAAACCTCTATCCACACACGGTCTCCTATCTGTAGGTTCAGTATCACCTTCCCTTCAGCTAATGATCGCGTATTAAGGTTGATTGTTTCAGCATTTAGCTGTACAGCATTATTTTTCTTTAAGGTCACAGTGCCCAAAGTCTGAGTTCCTATGCATGAGAACTGAAATTCATATACACCAGAAATCTGGCAGAAGAACAGCCCTGATTTTTTGTTATAATGGTTCTGTCCATTGTAAAGGACCCGACTGAACACAATCACTTTAGCAGAGGCAGGAAGGGTGATGCCAACAAAAGCAAAGAAGGCAGAATGTTGTCCTGTAGTATTAATGGGGGGTCCTGGGGGTCCTGGAGGTCCAGATGGGCCTGCTACACCTCGTGGACCTGGGAAAATTAAATATTAGAGAAACTCTAAAAAATCTTTAAGTGATATTGATAACATATTGAATATCTTTTTTTATTTGTGTTAGTTTTAATTTTGGCTCTGACGATTTGCTCAGTTATCTGGCTTAAAAATGAAAACAATGACCAAGGTTGGTTGCTTCGTTGAAGAAATATTTCGATTTAGATATTTAATGATTTAAATATTTCGGTTTGATCTATGACTTGCTTACCAGGTTCCCCTGGAGGTCCTCTGGGTCCCAGAGGTCCTTGGAAGGTCTCTGTATCTGAGGGTTAATGCATAGATGTTATATGTTTTTACTATACAGATATGGCAACAGTACACACATCCTTCACTCAAGTAGAAGTTTTTTTTTTCTCAATTTAAAGAAAATAAGTATGGGCTCTGATATGTACTTAGGTAAAAAGTAACCATTACTACTAACTGTTTTAGTGTCACTCTGGTAACTGGACCTCGCATCATATTAATACATTAATGCAATATAACTTACATTTAAAATGTTGTTAGCTATAGTATCCAGGCTGAAAAAACACCATATAGAACAGGGCCGGACTGGGACAAAATTTCAGGCTGGGAAATCACACTCAACCAGGCCATCCCATACACCGACAACTAATTATGAAACCATGAACCCTATTTTTTGTATGATGATAGAAATGGGGTGCTACTGCTAACAGTTGTTAGCAGTTTAATGCTTAACTAAGCAAACAAAGACAAAACCACAATAGCATATTAACTGATGAAACTGAACTGCACTTGAAGTCCTGAACAGATCAGTAGTTTTGCTTCTCCATTCTCAGGTCTCTCGCATTGATTACTCTGGTCGAAAGAAACCTTTTGGCGTTGGTGCGGAGCCAAATCATAGCGTTTGCCAGTCAAGACTAGCCGATTCATGATTTATTAGAGATGCCACCAAATAGAGATTAAAACTAAAGTAACGAGCCTGGTTTGAAAATATTAGTAGAAAGTACATATATTTGTGTAAAATTGTAAGGAGTGAAAGAAAAAGGTTGTCAGAAAAATAAATAGTAAAGTAAAGTACTGATACCAGAAAAATCTACTTAAGTACAGTAACAAAGTATTTGTACTTCGTTACTTCCCTACAATAAATCTCAGTTTAAAATGCAAAAGAGGCCCCTGACCCAAGCAAAATTCCTTGAAGCATGCAAAAGGTAGAAAGAAGGACTAAACAGCTTACAAAGGTTTGGTGCAGTTCATGTGCAGTCATAAAACATTGCTTGACAGTTGTGACATCCAAATGTATTAATTTATGTCACTGCACCAGTCCAGTGTAAAGCAAAGAAGAAACTACTCAAGCTGTGTCCGGTTTACATGTTTTGCAGTGAATTAATTGCCATTTAAGCTCAATAATAAATCTTGTGCACAACATCAACACTCGCTCTTTGTTCTTGCAATTAAGAGAAAACAAACACTTGTCTAACCTAATTTCCAATGTCTGAAATGTTGATGCCACTGTCACCTGGAAGGCCATATACCAAATCACAGGTTAACCAAACCATGCTGACCATGCAATCAGATTATAAAATGTCTTCAAAACCTGATATGTGCCTATAGAGCTTGTAAATGCTTAATTTCTCTACAAGCATATAGAAGAGGTAGTAAGAAGCTTAGGCAGAAATTTGCAGTCAGAGGAAGACATTTGATGTATGAGCACATAAGCATTTAAGACCTCTAATACTATGGTGCCTTACCAGTTTCAATCCAAGGGTTGAGGTCTAAGGCAGGGATATCCCCACAGTTAACAAAATTGGCTGAACTGGTGAAGCGGAAAGGATCTCTGGGAACTCTGCCGATTCCAGTGTTGTCACAGATGATGCGGGCCAGCGACACAGAGGCCAGTGATGCTTTTTGTTTGGTGGTAAACACTCCTTTGTTCTCCCACCAAAACCTGAACACACCGTGACACCTGATGTTAACACCACTCAAACACATACTTGTCGTATGGACTAAATCAGGGATGTCCAATCTTGCTCCGGAGGGCCAGTGTCCTGCAGAGTTTAGCTCCAACCTGCCACAGTGCATTCACCTGGAAGTTTCCTGAAGACCTTGATTAGTGGGTTCAGTTGTTTTTAATCAGGGTTGGAGGAGGATAGTGGCCCTCCAGGAGAGGGATTGGACACCACTGGACTAAATACACAGAAATCTTTACCTGTCACCCTCGCGAATGTGCTGGAACTGTCTAGAGATAAGGCAGGCAAAAAGAGAACCAACGCGACCACCAGGAACAAAAGGCTCAGCAACACCTCCCAACCAAATGTCAATGTTCTCAGGGGTGTCGTAAAGCTCAATCAGCCTGTGAGCCAATTCAGTGTTGTTCATCACCACAGCCAATTCTTGCTCATTCTGAGGTGCAGACAGTCCACAGAACCGACGCCATGCATTATAACCTTATGAGGAACAACAGATGGATACCCGGTAAGTCTTCTCTCAAAAACACATGTAGTGATAATGCAGCATGAAGCTGAGTGGGCTTCACATGGTTCAGATTAAAGGGTTCCAAGACTTGGTGTGCATGTGTACGAGTCCAGAATATTTACCTGGTAATGCATGGTCACGGCCTCTTTGCATATCAAGGGCGGCCAAGTCAAAAGCAATGCGGACTGTAAATGCAAACAGTCTCTCTCTAAGAGCATCCACCATCATGTGGTCCTGCGTATTCAGTTTTGCTGGCTGACCAATCAATCCACGGAGTAGAGGATCTATGCCCCCTAAGCAAAAAGCAAAGCAGAAATAAAGATGGAAAGAAGACAGATTTAGGTCTCTGTAGGTATGCTGTAACAAGCCTCACAAACTCACCCTCGAATATCACCCTCCACGGCGAGAAGAAAGCCTCGAAGAGGGGAATGCCTGGAAATTGAGGATGGTTTTGGTAATTTTCATCAAGACGAAATATGATGGGTTGGATGGCCAGGTGGGCAAAACGGAAAGCTGCAGTGGCAAAGACGTTTGCAATGGTAGGGTCCACATTTTCATTGTAACCTGGATATTGCCCAAGGTGTTTATTGTTAGCCTCAGGTCCCACAATTATCGGCACATATTCCTTAATCACCAAGATCTAAAAGAGAAAGGAGAGGTTGATCATGCATATATGTTGTACTCCGTATTTAACTGCGTGTGCTTGTGCTAATGCTTTTCATTGAGTGTCTTTACCTGGTTGTAGGCACCCACAATTTTTCTTGCCTCTTGATAGAGGGTTTCACTACTCCAGGTAGGATTGAGCACATGGAGGGCACGAGCCAATCTATTGTGCTCTCTCAAGAAAAGTGCGTGTAATGAGGTAAGACCAATATTCTCATCAATACGAACATCCCCTACACACATCAAGAGTTTAATAGCATTTGCAACATGGAGTTGTGCAAATACTAGGGGTGTAACGATACACGTATTCGTATTCAACCGTTCGGTATGCATTTTTATACCGAACGGTTCGTTGGACCATTTTTCCTGCCGACCAAAATTTTGTTATTTCAAATGTAGGCGCGTTGCGCGTGGCAAGCACGCTCATAATGTAAGAGAAGCTGGCGTGACCACAACATTGCCCTACATCAAATGGCAAAGTAATGTAAGCGGAACGAAACTGAGCTACTCGTTATTGCGTGGTTGACGGACCGTTTATCAGTTTGGACCAATGCAGCGCGAGCCGATCTTAATCAAGCAGCACTGTTATTACACAGCTAAGTCAGTAAAGAAAAAATTTGAATTCGCCACTGAAATAATAACATCGCTGCGAGATCTAGTGAGAAACTACAAAGTAAGATCTAGTGAGATCAAACAGCGCTGACGTAGAAACCAGGAAGAAACATTGTGCCATGAATGAACTATTCAGTGTCCACAGATCAGCAACATTCACCATGGATTTACTGTAGTAACACTAACTGTACCATGCAAGTTTGGCAGGAATAGTAGGCTATAATGCTTTCAAGTAACATTACGTCGGTTTATTTTGACATTATGAATACAATTGCTGCCCTCAAATGTTAATCTGAAATAAATTGACTACTACAATATTACATTTCATTTTGTCCAACGAGCTGTTTTGTTTTATATGCTCCTAAGAAAAGTCAAGTATAGCTCCATCATTGCTCAAAGTAAAAAAAATATCATACTTTATGATGTTAGTTTTAATAAAAATATAATTAAAAAATTAAATCAAGGAAATTTCTCTGGCATTTCTTTCTTTTTGCTGTATCGTATCGAACCGAACCGTGAATTTTGTGAACCGTTACACCCCTAGCAAATACCATACATTTTAAATGCTGGATTTACCAATAACGACTATGTCTGATAATTGCATATGAAGGCATAAGATTTTCTAAGAATTAAAAAGTTACTGACCTGCAATGAAGCAAGGCACCTCTGTTAGGGTGGTGTCATTGAGGGTTTTCCTACGCGTGGCACAGAGGTTACTTTGAAAATTGGTAAAGGGCAGGTGCTCTCGTCCATTATCCTGGAACTGATCGTTGACACGTAGAAGACCACCATCATTAGTCAGGTCTCGCAGTTCCTTTGCTAGCCCATCCTCTGCTCCGTAAACCTGTCCAGCATCTAGGAAAGCTGTACGAGCATTGATCTGTTCCCGAACTTTGGGGACCCTACCAAAGATCATGGCTGTTTTCCCAGAACCACAGACCGGTGATGAACGGAAGAAAGGGAGACAGGAGTCAGGAAGCAGGCGTTGATCTCCTGGAGGAGCCTGTGTTTTGACAATAAGTATAGCATGAATTATATCTATTATACAACAACCAGAGTGGGACAATATTTGACAGAAGGACAATCTTTGACTGACTGGAATTGGGAAGCAGGGTTCAGAGCGCTCACAGCTCTCATCACAGTTGAGGCCACTGCTAAAGGACCTAATGCTTGGTGAGGTTGGCGCTAAAGTCAGATCGTGGTCAATCCATTGCCCAAAAGTGGTAAGCATGGAGGTAAAGTCAAGATCACTCTCTACGTCAGCATCTGCAGTGCTTAGAATACGATTGGAAACCAGCCTGGCCTGAAATCAATAAGGTAGACAGAAATCAGACATTGTTAATTTATTGATGGGCTACTTGTTTGTCAAGTAGACTTCACTAAACTATTCATAATCATCTCTATCATACCATGGGCAGCGCTGCACCATTAAACAATTTGTTGGGATCCCACCCTTTGGCCTGGGAGATGTCATCCTCATAGACAGCAGGCAACCAGCTGGCAAAAGGGGTGTTGGATGCACCAAGAAGTGGGTTATTCCTGGGAATGATACATTTAGTTGCTTAGCGAGGCAAACACTAAGTCTTTGATTAAGACTACTCTGAAAAAGGAGGGCAAAACAGACCTGTTGTTGCAGACATTGTTGGCAGTTCGATACTTGTTTATGTTGGGTATGGTCCTACAAGAAGGGGGCCGGGCATGAGCAGCACAGCCTGTCAGACGTGTAATCGTGTCAAGCTCGTCTTGAGTGAGCAGATCTAGGGGAAAACACATAATGACAGTTTATAGCAAGGAACATCAGTCAGTGATGGATCTTTTCTGAGCTATGCTAGTTTGGTAAAAAAAATGTTGTCCTCATACCTGTAGCATTGATGGCCCTCTTGTGTATATGATGGGCTTTCTCACTGATCAGCCTGAGCGTTTGCCCCATGTAGTCTGCGGCTCTCACAGCCTCTCGTGTTTTTCGAGCTGGCTGTTTCAGCAGACGTAGCTTGTCGGAAGGCTTGATGACATCTCCGCGCACCCTTGCTAAACTCCTGGAAGTGGGGATATTTATAAAAAATAAAATAGATCAATGACTGATGATGGCACAGGAATATTGAGCAATATTCTTAAAATTTGACTCACTCATCACGAGAATACTTGTAAGCAGCGTCTACTATTTTCTTTGCCTCCTCAATTGAATCCAGAATGAAACGTCTCCCTGGACTCTCTTGTTCTGCTAAAAAAGAAAATGTTATTACATGATGATAATGACTAATTTTAGTGAAACCTGTCATTTATTTATTTATTTTGGAGGGTAGATGAATTGACTTCACTTATTACACACAACTGGTATTAATACAATTCTTTGTTTTCTACAAAATTGAGCAATTGTAACAATGTTGCTGAAATTAACTAATCACACAATGACAATACAGTTACAACAAGCTTTAATATAACACGCAGGGAAACTCAGAAGAATAAGGGTACACAGCTACTGGTAGAACATGAACAGACAAAAGAACAGACATAAACTCAGTGTATAAATGCATGAGGCAAACAAAAGAGTGTGATCAGGTTCACAGCTGAACAAGATAGCTAACAGCCAGGATGGAGGGGGCACCCCAGGGCGGAGTCGAAGACAGGAGGAGGCATGGTGGAGATGACTTGATGGAATGTGACACCCTGAGGACGACCGACGAAGATGCATTCACTGAAGATGGAGACACTGGTGGAGCCGATGAACAGACAAGCCTACGCAAGACCGATGGCACCGGAGAGGGCGTGGTGGAGCCAGCTAACCAGAGAACAGAGGCAGAGCCGGTTGGACCGAGGACGATGGTAGAGCCGTGGGAGGGCGAAACCAGACGAAGGTGCAGGCAGGACGATATCTGACCAAGGCGGAGCCTGATGGATGAGGGAGTCCGGTGGAGCTGTATGGCCGATGGTTTCTGGTGGAGCCGAGGGAGGGAGGAGTCAGGGTGGAACCAAAGCCAGTGGATCCTCTAGGCTTGGTGGAACTGGTGGCCTAAAGACACTTGGCAGATCCTGTAAGAGGGAGATGTAGAAGGGCAGAAGGACACTAGCGGAGGCGGGGCTGAGGAACAGGTTTGAGGAGGTGGGAGAGGGAGGCTGGGCAGGTATTCTGTAGAGACAGGGGGTGCTGGAAAGACATGGAATACTGGAGATACTGGGGGACTGGGAATAAGTTCTCCAAAAAGTCCATTAAATCCTCCTCAAAAATGTCCTTAAGTTCCTCCAATAATGAGGCCATAAACATCTCATCCACAGCTGTGGGGTTGTGGGCGGGGTTTTCCTCCCAGTTCTCGAGCTCCACAAGCACTCCCTTCGCACCGGGCCGGTCTCCATGGTCTGTGGTGGGCACATGCAACATCTCCGTCAAATCGCTTGTAGGTGAAGGATGGCTGGTCTCTAGCAGTGCTGGAGTGGGGCTAGTGGCAATGTCATCCTCCGCGGGGCAGATGGTGAATGGTGAGTTGTTGTTTACCAGCACCCACTGCACGAATGCGGAAATCCTCACGAGGACCACTCCCTGAGAGGTGTGCCCAGGACCGCTCCCTGAGACTGGAGAAGTAGAACACACAGAGTGAGCAGTCGAGATGGGGCACGTCAGCTCCAAAGAAATCCCTGGTGTGTTACTCCAGGGAGCGGTCCTTCTGCTCCAGGCACAATAACTGGACAGCGGGAAAGTACATGGTGATGGAGAGAAAACGTCTCGGTTACATATGGTAACCCTCGTTCCCTGAGGGAGGGAACGGAGACGTAGGTCATAACTGACCAATAGGAATCTCGCTAGAGAGGCCGATTTACTTCGAGTGAAACTAAAACAAGCCAATGCACATTGGTGTGCAATCATTTGCATCAGCTGTGCAGCCTCACAGCACGGGTATTTAACAAACAGCTGTTGCGATTGCACACTCGTTTTTTGCTGAGGAGCCAAGCCTGAAAAAGCAGATATGGCGACGGGACCTACGTCTCCGTTCCCTCCCTCTGGGAACGAGGGTTACCATATGTAACCGAGACGTTCCCTGTCGGTCAGTCACTACAACGTAGGTCATAACTGACCAATAGGAATCCCTACCAAAGCGCCACAGCCGCTGCACCCCATCCAGCGCCCCATGCAAGCCTCTACACCTTCTTAGGAGGAGGCTTATACAGAGTGAGTCTGACACTGTTGTTCCGTGATAACCCATACAGTGAGATATTGGATAACACTGGGAAAGCGTGCCCTTTCTATTTAGGAAGGAGAACGCTGCGAAGCCACTTCTTCAAAGAGTTATGTGAAAAATACATATGGACTAACCCGAAGGTTGTACTGCATATGAATAATGGGAGACTTAGCCCAAGGGAAAGACACAGGCTTCCGATAGGAGCAGCCGTGGAAAACATACACATATGGGATCCACGTAGGGTCACACATATGGAACCCAGCCCAGATCCGGTTCTCAAGGATTCGGCGGATAAAGGCCTGGCGCCGGACGCTCCACCATGTCCGGGCCGAGGGGTTTTGGAGGACTCAACAGGTTTTACTCTGGAGTATTAAGGTTGCACAGTAGGGTGCAGCAAGCCAACAGAGCTGGGCCTCTCGGTGCTTCTACCCGTCTAGGGTGAGAACACGAGAGGAGACCGGCTCTACACATAGGCTATAATATCTAGTGAACGTGTTAGGTGTCGCCCAGCCCGCAGCTCTACAGATATCTGTTAGCGAGGAGCCACGTGCCAGCACCCAGGAGGATGCAACGCCTCTCGTGGAGTGTGCATGCAACCTGAGCGGGCAGGGCACGCCTTCTGCTTGGTAAGCCAAGGCGATGGCATCCACTATCCAGTGGTCCATCCTCTGCTTGGAGACAGCCTTTCCCCTCAGCTGGCCTCCGTAACAGACAAAGAGCTGGTCTGAGGTCCTGACGCTTTGAGTTCTGTTCACGTACATACGCAGAGCAAAGCCAGGGCTGGGTCTGCCTCCTCCAACGGCAGCGCTTGGAGGTTCACTACCTGGTTTTTGAAGGGAGTGGTAGGAACCTTGGGCACATAGCCAGGCCGGGGTCTTAGTACCACATGGTTGTCACCCGGCCCGAACTCTAGGCACGATTCGTCGACCGAAAATGCGTGCAGGTCTCCTACCCTCTTGACAGAGGCCAGTGCAACCAGTAGCAAAGTCTTCATGGAAAGAAGCTTTAAGTCTACTGATTGCAGAGGCTCAAAGGGAACATCCTGAAGTGCTCGAAGCACCAGGGAAAGGTCCCAAGAGGGTATGGAGGGGGGTCGAGGAGGATTTAATCGTCTCGCCCTCAAAGAATCCTGACGACCAGGTCGTGCTTCCCCACTGTTTTTGCCATCTATGTGGTCGTGATAAGCTGAAATAGCGGCAGCATGTACTTTGAGGGTGGAGGGAGACAGCCTTCGCTCCAACCCTTGCTGCAAGAAGGAAAGCACAGACCCTATCGAACATCTTCGGGGGTCTTCTCGGCGAGAAGAACACCACTCGACGAACAGGTTCCACTTCAGGGCGTAAACACGTCTCATGGACGGCACCCGTGCTGAAGTGATGGTGTTAAGTACCTCAGGGGGTAAGTCACCTAGAACCACCTAGAAGTTGTATTCATAAAAATAAATCACGAGAACATGAACTTCATCACTGCATTTGCAGGAATTGTAAAATCTTTTTTCTTATTAACTCATAGCCTAACGCAATATTTATAGCTTATATGAACTGTGATCACGCACAACGAAAAAACACGCAATAATTAAATCCCCCTCCCAGTAGCTACCATGGATAGTGCCACTCGGCTTGACATGTCAAAACACTTATTTATGAATGGCAAAATTAAATGGCACAACGTAGTGTCAACTTAAACATAAATAGGCTATAGTGTAGGCCTCATCATACTAGGAAAACAGTCTTTTTCTGCTTTCCTGTGGGAAAATCCGCAGCTTTCCAGTGGGTGGTCCATTTCGGATTTTATTGTTCTATCGCACTGACAGTTCACATTATTACATCGCTTTACTTAGTTTAGGCTAGCCTACTTCTATCAGTCTGCTGAACCATGGATTGATTGCAAAGTTAAACCATCACAGTAGAAACAGTTGTACTGCTGTTAAAGTAACAACGTTAACGTTACATCGTGATGCTGAGCTACAGTGAAATGATAGAAAAGACAGATGCATTATCTGTGTCAAGATGCATTATCTGCTTGTTACAGTATAGTGTCCTTGTCACTATCCTGGGGCATTAGGACCCATGCAGACCACAGGGTGAGCACCCTGCTGGCCTCATTCAGAAACCAAGGAGATTAATGAGAACTCAAATAGGCAGACAAATGGGGAAAATAATGAACAGAAACAGATCATGAACATGACAGCAATGTGTAGTAAGGGATATATAATATATATATATATATATATACATGAAATTGACTCTCCAGAAGACGGATGTCAAACCAGGTATAGCTTAAATGACTAAAGAGCACAAGACTGAATTTAATGCACCAAAAACATTTTAACACAGGTGTTTTGATATAATTTGATTCTATATTGTTAATCATTAGCTGTTTGATTTTTGATGGCATGATTGGTAAACTTACCACCCATTGAAAGGGCACAACAGCACCCCACCACAAAAAGAAAATTGGGAAGATGCATCTCTAAAACACAAATTGAGACATTTAGAGTGAATATAAATAGATATTGTGTTTATGAAAATTGCACTGTTTTGTGTATTTCAACAAATTTTTAAGATAAATTCCTCTACATTTAAGAGAAATATGACAAATTAACTTAAAAAAAAATACTTAAATAACTTTTTTAAAACTATTTTAAAGTATTTTTTCTATAAAAAATGCTATTTTATACTGTGTAGACATTTTCTATTTTTAAATACAACGTATTGTTTTAAAATTGTACATATTTTACATTTTAAGAAAAAATAATAATACTTACAATTCATTCTGAAAGAAAAAAAATCAGTCTAGAATAAGAAGTGTCTATTAAATGTAACAATTATTTACTCTAAAATCTTTGCATTTGCAATCAGCATCACAGAGTTTCATGATACTACTATTTTTTTTAAATTCCAATTAAATTGATAAATAAGTACTTAAAGAGAATTTGTGCATTTCTCACCTGGTGACAGGTCTCAGGCTCTCTGGTTCTGGACTCAAGGCTCAGAGTGTGTTGTACTGACTGGATGGAGCAGCCGTCCTTTATACCGTCCCTCATCCTCACTCCGTTAAGCATCACTGAGGGAGTCGTAGGCGGGGCAACTGGTTTACTTCCTTCTTCCTTTTCACACCAAGTGCATTTACCATATGTGGAGTTTGATTTATTTATATATTTATTTGAGTCTAACACTTATTTACTCTTCATTGCTCTACGTTACAGGAAGATAAATATTTCTGTACTTAGCTTCTTAATACTGACATAAAATATTTAGATGGATAGTGTACCCCAAAAAGGAAAGTTCTGTCATTATTTACTCACCCTCATGTCATTCCAAACCTGTATGCCTTTCTTCTGTGGAACATAAAAGAAGATATTTTGACAGATGCCTTAGTGTTTTTTTTCCAATGAAGTTTAATAGGATCCTATGTTGTTTAGTTCCCAATGTTCTTCAAAATATCTTCGTTTGTGTTCAGCAGAAGAAAGAAAGTCATACAGGGGCCGTATTCACAAAATATTTTATCTTACCACTAAGAGCTCTATAAGTAAAAGTTCTGAGGTAATAGTCTCCTATTAAAAGCCATTCACAAAGCGGCTGAGACCAACTTTTACTAAGGAACAGAGAGAAGTCTAAAGCTAAGAGAAAGGGTGGGGTTGACCTTGTTGCTATGGATGACGTCAACATGCCTACAAACTATGCCCACTGTGATTGGCTGATGGAGAAGGGGTCAGTGATTTAATCATAGTAATATTGTAGAAGGAGGTATTATGTTGGCATATTCAAATAAAGCTTTGCTTTTTTTTTTTTATGTTGCCATATCAAATAAAGGTTTTAAAATAAAAATGTTGTCATATTCAAATAAAGATTTTAAAATGTAGGATACATTAATCCAGATTTGAAAATGGTGTTTTCGTTTCAAAACGCTCTCCGTCCACACTAGCTTTTTTAAGCATTTTCCAAAAGTTTCTTATCCACACCGAAAAGTTGGAAAACAAGTACACCAGGGCCCGTATTTAAAATACTTCTCAGAAATGCTTTTAAGAATAGTCTTAAGCTTTGACTTAAGTGTCAAAAAAGCCAATAGCACCTCATTGCAGTACACGAGATCCAGGGGGCGGGGTTGGATCCAGATCTAAGGGGTGGAGATGGGTAGGATTAGGGGTGGGGTTAGGGATCAGGGGGTGGATATGGGTAGGATTAGGGGTGGGTTTAGGGATCAGGGGGTGGAGATGGGTAGGATTAGGGGTGGGGTTAGGGATCAGAGGGTGGAGATGGGTAGGATTAGGGGTGGGGTTAGGGATCAGAGGGTGGAGATGGGTAGGATTAGGGGTGGGGTTAGGGATCAGAGGGTGGAGATGGGTAGGTTTAGGGGTGGGTTTAGGGATCAGGGGGTGGATATGGGTAGGATTAGGGGTGGGTTTAGGGATCAGGGGGTGGATATGGGTAGGATAAGGGGTGGGTTTAGGGATCAGAGGGTGGAGATGGGTAGGTTTAGGGGTGGGTTTAGGGATCAGGGGGTGGATATGGGTAGGATTAGGGGTGGGTTTAGGGATCAGGGGGTGGATATGGGTATGATTAGGGGTGGGTTTAGGGATCAGGGGGTGGATATGGGTAGGATTAGGGGTGGGTTTAGGGATCAGGGGGTGGATATGGGTATGATTAGGGGTGGGTTTAGGGATCAGAGGGTGGAGATGGGTAGGTTTAGGTATATGTAAGGCGGGAGGAGTTGGATCTGGATCTAAGGGGTGGATATGGTTAGGATTAGGGGTAGGTTTAGGGATCAGGGGGTGGAGATGGGTAGGATTAGGGATTAGAGGGCGGCGATGGGTAGGTTTATGTATATGTCAGGTGGATTTCATGTTCTGCAGTGAGGACCATCTCAAAAAAGCAGGGAAGCCCGCAGTGGCTTGATTTAGCTGCATGGTTTGAAGATCAGTTGAAAGTCAATGAACATACAGTAGTGGCTAAAAGTGATGTCCGGCATAGGAAAATTGACATATTCACTCTTTATTCAAATAGTATTAAAATGTGTTAAAGATTCTGTAAGCATATTGTGTAGTTGTGATTGGAGTCAATTGTTTTATTTGTGAAAACACAGTTAAATATATGCCAAAATTGTGTCGGTACAATTTTGACAGGGCTGTCACAATGAAATTATGAACACATGAAAAAACAAGAGAGGACCAGTTGAATATTAATAACTGTTGTATAAATGTTGTAATCATTTTTTCCCCCCTGTGTGCTTTTTTGTTTTTCTAAAACCTATAGCTGTAGTATGCTTTTTTTGTCACTTAATATTCAATGATATTATTTATCTGCCTGCATTGACACCATTGTCTGAGTACTAAACTGAGCTGGACGATGTCATCATTGTTTTCTCCAGAGCTGCTGTAAATGAACTAAATTAATAACTAATGATTTTTACAACAGAAATGAATCAACACTGAACTTAATTGAGCTGGACTATGACTATTTTTCTTCTAGAGCTGCTATACAGCCAAAAACAAACTTTGTTGCATTCTTTTCATGTATTCACTATAAAGCAGCTTTGAAACAATCTGTATTGTAAAATGCGCTATAAAAATGGTGACTTGATTTGAAAAAAAAAAAAAAATTGTCAGAGGGTTCTGTCAAATACCTTCACTAAGTTTAGTATTTTGTTCTTCCCTCATATTTTTAAATATTTAAAATATATAAATATAAAAATATTTTCCCATAATTTGATGGTTTAAGCAAACTTATAGGGTCATTTAAAAAGAAAAGAAAAAAACTCTGCACATCATTTCTTGCCACTATACTGTGTATCTGGTGTGGTCAGTGCCACAATTGTGCTGTTAAGACCCTGCTTACATTGCATTTTTCCAGTCGCCAAAAATGTAATTATTACTTTTATTTCTGCAGTTAAAGCATTGATTTTTAGAGTGGTTATTACATTTCTTAAAGGCCAGTTACTAAAAAAAATACCTTGATGATCAAGCTTTTATCGTTTGATCAACTCTGTCATCATTTAACTCCAATACATTATATGTGTGTTGGAAAGTGTGTGTTCTCCTCCTCTCTGCTGGCATCTTGTTACTCCTAACCAGGTTAGGATACCTCTCCAGCACTCTTACATAATTTAGAAGCTGAGCCCTAGTCTTAACACTTAGGAATCTTTATCAATCACACTTATTCTTAAGTTTAGGAATAAGATTAAAATTATGCCGTTCTTAGAATTTTGACACACTTAAGACTAAAATTTTACTCTGAGTGGCTTTATACATACGTGTCCTGGTCCTTCTCTCGGAAAACACTCAGTTCACCTTACTGCGCATGCTAAACCCTAACAGCTCACTGGGATGATAGACGGAACAGACATAATAAAGTTATCACGCAATTCTTCTGGCAAATGATCTTTCCATTCACTGATGCTTCCAGGTAACACTCACTCACTATTATATGTTTGGTCTAAAACGCAGAGGTGACAAAGTACACAACTTTTATTACTTGAGTGAAAGTACAGATTCTACTGGTCAAATATTACTCCATTACAAGTGAAAGTTGTAAAGACAGATTTTTGCTTTAGTAAAAGTACAGTTTTATTATTGTTGCACTGTTGTATGTAATATTTACAATAGGCAACTTTATGTCTATCTGTGGAATAAAGAGCTTTTAGAATGTTACAAATTAAACAACTGAATTGACAAAAAAGACAGCCATAACAATCTTAATTTTTACTACCTCACCTTCCTAACCCCCACAGTAAAATTAAAATTTTCCACGATTCTGAATGCCAATTAAACAACATTGTAATTTACTGGAGGTTCTGACAACATTAAATGCTGCAGTCTATTTAAAAGTGTTTAACTGATTTGAATTAATTATGTTTGATTTATGTTTGAATGATTCAATGACTCTTGTTTCATTACTGGATGAATCAGTATTTTTTAATGAATCTCTTGAATGAATGATAGTCACCGAAATGTAATCGGTAAAATCATTTTTGTCAAATAAACTTTCAAAAGGTGTTTATCAGTGTTTATATGTGAACTGTAAACTTTTATCCTCGTATTTCTGTGATAATTTGAACATTTGTAACGCAGAAAGAAATACCCCTAAAAAACACCTAAACCCAACAGTCTACTAAAACTCAGTCCATGCAGGCTCTAATGAAATTCCTAATCAGCAATCTGGACATCATCTTCCTGACAGAAATATAGCTCGACAGTAATCATAACTTTGTCCTAAATGAAATATCTCCACCAAATTTGAGATATTTCAGTGTCCCTAGACTTAATAAGAAGGGTGGAAGAGTTGCCTGCCTGTTCCGCAATACTTTGTGCTGTCAACATATTTCTCTGGTGGATTTTGAAACATTTCAATACCTTGCAGCGCATCTGAAGAGTGAACATTCTGTTATTTTATCAGTTCTCTCTCATCCTCCTATAACAAAGGCTTTCTTGATGATCTTGGAGAACTGCTTTCTAGGATTTTAACTGACTTTGAATATAATCACTGGTGATTTTAATATCCGTATGGATGTAATTTCTGATTCATCGACTGTTCATTTTTTAGTTATACTAAACTAGTTTGGCCTTATGCAGCATGTAGCTGGCCCCCCACACACACACACACTCGATCTGGGAATCCCATGTGACTTAACCGTCAGCCATCCACATATTGTAGATGTTGCCATATCTGACCATTATTGTGTCTTTTTTGAGATTTCAGTATGTTCCAAAACTGTGAGTGATAAGAAAACTGTCAATAAGCATTATCTCACTGCTGATTCTGCCACAACCTTCATGGAGCCCATGTCATCCAAGGCTTGAAATTGCGACCATTTTGGTCGAATAAGCTCCCGAAATTTAATCTGTGTGACCTCAACATATATTTGGGAGCATTTGTGCGAGTACACATAGGCTAATTCTTGTGGTTTTCATTTTTCTACAAAACGTTAGCTAATTACTGCACAGTGTGTGCCTGCCGTGAGCTGAAACAGTAGTTGTGTCCCAAAACAGGGGCTGCATCCTTTGAAGGATGTGTCCTTCATAGGAC